TGTATGAACTTTTTTTATTGTTCTGTGATTCTTATTCACTCTTGAAGTAATCCACACGTTAGTAAATAGCTTGTATATGCGTGGGTATGTTTTTCGTTGAATATAGTAAAATCATAGAATAAAATAGATTACGCTTTACTGTAGAAAGATGACGTAAGCATTTGTAAGATTGGACAATAGAGTGTAAAATGTTTCTCTTTAGTTGTTTAATTGGTGCAAAGAACGAAGGAGAATGAATGATTGCATGATTAATGCATCTATTTTTTCACTATGTTTCATTATTTCTTTTGTGTTTCCTACATCATCTCCTCCTAGAGTACTATGTGACAGAGAAAGCATTTGACTTAGGATATCTTTGTCCTTCAATCTTGTCATCAACTGTCCCATAAGAGTGCAGTCTGTTTATAAGATCTATATGTAGAAATACGAAAAGAATAATGTGATCGTGTTATGTTGACGATCGCTTCTACGTCATCGGTATTTTTGAACCTTGTCATTCACATTGACATCCCCTTAAGTTATTAAGTCAGCCAAAAGATTTGATTCGGCTTTTAATAGATATCTTTAATGAGTAATTGATGTATTTGAATAATTTGTTTATGTTGACCGAAACAAGATCAAATTTGACTCACAAAATAGAATCGAGTTTTTTGACTAACCCGTTCTTCATTGTAAGTTCGACTTAACGGCTCTCGTACGCGCACCCAGGAAACTCAAATTCATCAAATACGAAAACAGCCAGAGACAAATTGGACCGAGGTCACGAGCAAACAAAAATCTCCTTGGACTTTTCTCTTTTTTCTAATCGGCAAGAAGTCGGCGCGCTAAAAGCAACTCCGCGGTAACGAGTCCTCGAAAGTTTGACGGGCTGTTTAATGAAATTGGAACGTATCCTCTTTGAAAAATAGCGCGACTCCGGGCGAAGTTTCGGGGAAGTCTTGCCTCGGCGAGATGGTCGGATTTGCAAAAACCGGATAAGTCCGTTCCGCCGAATTTCTCACAGAGATGAGACAAAGGGATGGATTTTCAATCTTTTTATTACACCTCCGCGTCTCTCGCAGTGCTCGAGAGAGAGAGAGAGTGCGAAGAGACGGTTTCTTATTATTTCTCGCACCTCGATGCATCTTCGTCGTCGCCGTCATCACTAACGAGAAATGCGCTCGCGAATTCTAATTCCCCCTGCTGCCACTCTCGTCGTGCAACCCTTCAATTTACGAACGCGTTATTAATCGTCGTCGTCTCCGTGTCGCGAGACGCAAGCGGAGGCGTAAAATTTGCTGGCTATCGTAAAGCCATTTTTGAGAATGGCTCCCACCCGAGCTGTAGACGGTAAATGGCCGCGCCGGTCGCGAGAAAGTAAAAACTTTATCTTCATTATTATTAAAGTCGGCTAGATGAAAATGAACCACGAAATTGGTCCCCCAATGGCAGTAGTCAAGGGGAGACCAATAACTGCGCGCAGGGGCCAATAACTATATAACTTCCCCGACCCGCCGGCACCTTGATACCGACACCTAGATCGATATGGAACTGTCGCGGACACTCCGCCATCCCGTCGTGACATTTTCCACGCGAACCACCGCCAACCCGATCCTTCCTCGTCCTCTTCTTCCCTTCCGACCTTCATTCTTCCTCTCTCGCTCGTCCGCGTTTCTTCGCGAAGCGTTTAGCAAGCTAACGATCTTGAACGAGCGCGAATTACGCCGGCGAGAGCAAACGCTACTACTTAGCACCGAGAAATGAAGTTTGATGTTAACTTTCAAAGCGAAACAATGGCCTTTGAGATTGCTATGATGCTCACGCACACGCTGTGGAACGGTTATAGGACGGGGTCCTTTCGGCATATAACTCGCAAAAATGCAACGTCATTATCTCGCTCGAAACTCGCTCGGCGTTCCGTCGTCGCGCGGACAAACCGCTCGTCGTGATATTAAGTTATTGTACGCGAAGAAAAAAGCTTACTTGCAAATTAGGAGCTAAATATTATATTATACAGGGTATCTCAGATCGTATTCGTACGTTCGTGGAAATGTAGAACGGATTGAGGTGAACAACGAGAGACCCATACCGTTTTACAGTATTTGCAATAAATCTCCAAATATTAATTAAAGAAGATTGGTGAATGATTGTCCGCGATGATACAAATCTTCTTTAATTAATATCTAAAAATCTATGTGGTCATTTGCAAAATGGTAGAAGACTTTTTTGTTTAACCTAATGTATAAATATACCACGGCAGATGACGCCATTACAGCTTATCTACCATATAGCACGTGATTCACTCTAAAATCTTATAATATTTAATTTACCGATTAAAGAAGGCAGGCTTCCTGGCTTACGTAGATGAAAACGCTTGGACACATTTGACTCATGAGTTTGTTTTGAGAGTTAATTTCGATCACATAAGGAGATCATTATTTTTGTTTAAACAATCCACACGTTTCAGTTCTATTCGAATCATTTCCTATAGAATAAAATAGAGTAAAATAGATAAAATAGAGTAAAATAGATCTTTTAAATAAATATAATATTAGCTCTTTACTTGATGATTATTTATATTTATTATTTTCTAGTTTATTGTACTATACAAACCGCGCACCATCTTTCATAGACGTATCTAAAGCATGATGACCCAACAATTCTAAAAATATTTGTCGTATCAAAATGTTGTTTATGAGAAAGTTTCATGTATTCGAGGGATTCTTCTATCTAAACAAAAATTCGCCCCCTTGAAAAGGAAGGAGCAGAGGATAACTTCGTAATTTCAAATGGAACCTTCTATAAAATTACATATTTGAAATCTACGGCAAAAAACAAGTAAACTTTATCTGGAACATTTCTTTAAAAAAATGCTTCTATCAAAAGTTATGAACATTTAAATTTTAAAGTAGAGTGCATTCAAACTTATATGATAAAACTATAAATTACATAGAATTTACATAGAAATTACATAGAAGATTTTATAGTTTTATAGATTACATAAAAGTTTTTTATTTTTTTTACTTTATTAAATGTTCAAACTGTTGACCATTCATATTTAAACACTTATTAATTTTTTCTACAAAATTTTGTCTAACTATAAACATTTCTGTGGTCACGCTAGCGCGAGCTTCACGTATTCTTCGTTTTAAGTCTTCGCTCATCAAAAGTAGTTGAAATATTATCGTTAAATTATTGTTTATTTAATATTAATAAATAAAATTCTATTAAGAACATCGCTTGTTTACAATTGTAGCTTATTCGTCTAACTCACGGATCTCTTTGCTCACGCGATAATTTTGAGAAAAACAACGTTACAGCTATCAGCCGAGTGAAACCGTTCGGGTACTTTTATGAGCTACTGTATATGATTGCGGTTATTTAGCCGGAAAACTAGTTTTTTCGTCAACTTCGAAGCATTAAAATTCTAGCCGACATCCGCTACAATTCCGTTGTTGTGAAACAACTTATACCGTGTTATTCGCGAATATTCATGCGATCCGACGAAGTCGTCCCATTGCAAATAAGCGAGCTAAAAATTGTAATCACAAAACGTACCGGATGTGACGCTTGAAGAAAAAAAAATATATATACTACCGTAAAATTTTACGTATATTACAAAATCGCGGAAAATCATAGCTCTGTTCATCTAATATATGTACGAACACAAACGCGCAGATTATTGCATTTTTAACTATAAAAAAATACATCGAAGCCATATTTTCTCGGCAAGACAAATACTCTGCAAAAAAAAAAAAGAAAAATACAACAAATATATACATTTTGCGAAAATAAATATTTTACGCGTGAAGGCAAATATCTTTTTTAAACTATGTATATATTTTTTAAATGGTAATACACACACATTGAGTACTTGGCTCGATATTAACCATATATTTGTAATGGTAGAACGGAGCCAACTTTAATCTTTATTTTCGATTCTATTTAATGCTAATTAAAATCAATTAAACATCGCTACGAGATAATCGCGCAGATGTATTCACGTCGATTGCATGCCACTTGTAAAAATCAATCTGTATCCATAAGGTCGAATAAAGTGGAAAAAAAGGTGAAACGTCACACACGCAATGGCGCAACTATTGTAATGCACGAAATTATTGTATCTGAGAGGAACGTGACAAAGAAACTTTGTAGTTCAAACGCGAATGCGTGTACGCTCGCTAGGTGGCGGGGGAGGGGGGGGGAGAGGGGGGTCATGTCGAAAGAGCGAAGTGATACACAGAGAACACAGCGGCGAGTCCGCGAGTTTTCCCGTGTAAAATGAAATTCCACGTATCTGCGGAATAAATTCGCGGCTAGCCGGAGGGTCGTGTGGAGGGCGTGAGAGACGCGGCGCGATTTTGCGCCCGCGCGTCCACACCGATTGTTTTCTATCTCGCCCGTTTCAATGGCAGCCTTCATCGAACTCGACGTAAGAAGATCCGGAAAACGACTGATATGTTTTGCACACTTCCGTAATATTTTATCGGTGACAGTCGAATTGCCCCTCCGTCGCGTCGTTCGCCGCAGCACTTTTCAATAGTGGCGTTCATCTCTCTTTCTTTCGCCCTCTCTCTCTCTCTCTCCCTCTCTTTCCTTTCTTCTCTCTTTCTCTAGCGCGCTCCCGTCCCTTCCTTCGCCGGCGCTTCGCAGCGCGCGACAACTTTTTCGGCCGTTCTTCACGGAATTTCGTGGCGCAAATATTCCATCCTTTTTCGAGTCTCCCCCGGTTATATCCGCGCGCGCCTCGTCAACGTTGTACGAACTTTCGAGCAATCCACTTATACCGTGGCCGTTTTATCCGCGCGGGCCAAAGTTCGCGCCCCGCAACGCCGCGCCCGGAGAGATTGACCCGTTAACGTATCTGTTTTAATTTTACGCATTGTTTCCGACCGAGTAAACAACTCCTGCCCGTCAAACGTCCGGCTCGCAGCGAAAATAGCGATGATCCTTCGCGAGGGAAAGATTTTGGCATTAACTTCAAAACGCGATACCGCGTATATACCTCCGATAGTCGGTCGCCGTCATCCGTGAAGAACGAGCGAGCGAGCCACTCGTCGACTACATTTGCCGTGTCTCCGTCGATATTTTAGTAAACCATCAGCGTCATTTCCAGGTTTAATTTAAATATCCCATGGTATGTATACATATACACGAATGTGTGCATATTTCTCTCTCTCTCTCTCTCTTCCCCCTCCCTCCCTCCCTCTCTTCCTCCTCTTCTCTTCGTGCCGTGCTTTTTCGCGTTTTGATTCTATATTTCCGTTGAATTTTTTATCGTTACTTCGCATCGCGCGGATTCAACGCTTATGTTTGCGCTGCCTCTACATAAATCATACGCGAAAATCAAATATTTTCAGCGCGCGAAACGCAATTCTTAGAACGATGCCGCTGTTCGTCTTTGCATTTTTAACGTCGACAGGTCGGCGTTAAATAATTGCTGATCCCCGTTACCGTTTCATTTACGCGCAGCGATATAAAAGCTGTGAGATTACGCGGAATCAATTAAAGCACACAGAGCGCAACATTCATCGTAATAAACTCTACAATAATTAAAGATACCGATGGATCGAAGGAGAGGATAAACGCGGGAACTCTTCGCGTTCTTTACACACTTCTGATTATACAAATATTTCTCCACGTCGACAAGTTGATACCATATCGAAATTAAATACGTCGATTATAAAATACACACACGGGAAGACTCTTCACTTTTGTTTTAGAATACGAAACTTTTCCTGCCTTTTCCCATCAATCAGACTTTTCTTTAATCCTTAGTAATTAATATATATCAACACAGAATTAAATTATATGTAGCTCTAAATTATATATATTTCATTTCATATTATATAATTATGTTGCAATATAATTATAATTAATTGTAATATAATTATATTTAATTATATTTCGATATCTAAATCAAGACTGATAATCGTCGACATGACTGTTTATCAGAGAGGAAACCTTTCTACCTTTTGCAGATAAAACTTCTTCGTGTGAATAAATGACAAATTTTTTAGGGTCGCCTCGTATCTTTCCGTTGCAAGGAAGAAAAGTTCACACAGGTCGTGAGGAAGCCACGGGTCAGACAATCGTGGGTCAGCGGATGTAACGTCGAGATTACGTTTCCGAATAACGAGCGATCACGGACAGTTTTGGTCTTTAGAAGTCGCTCCACATTAGTCGCAAATCGATCACAAACGGATTGCAATGCTTATCGCAATAGCTATTCAGTAGTACTTCTGATTGGCTGCCGCGACAAATATTATGCCAAAATTCTTACAGATTTACAGAGACTTTGAAAAGTTTTTTCGTTTATTATTAGCTATCTGAATCATAAAACTCAATTATATTATTGTCTCTACAATAGTTAATAAGTATATAGTACATTTTCATAAACTGTAATATTTTGTGAGATATTTTTAGTATATCATGACTTAAGGGAATAGGGGAAAGTAATGTCAGTTAAAACAAATAATTTATTGGCGAAATCTTTGAGAGAATGCATTATTATTTTAAATTATTTTAATACATTATTATTTTAAAAGCCTAACCAATATGTTATTAGGTGTTTTGGTTAATTTTGAAGGTTGACGTTAGATGACGTTAGTTACCAATTATAATGAATTTCTTTGATGACAATTGCTATATTTGTCAGATCTCTAGCATTTCTGCACACAGCTTGGCAGCTGTCAAATTGTTAAAGTATTCATTAGTTGGAACGTGTAAAAGCGCAGTAAATAGCATTTTCGACACTTACTGCTTTTTTTTATCAAAAGAAAACGGATGATGAAACTCACCGATGCATTGTTGAAATAAATAGCGATTGTTCTCCGTCAATTAAAATGTCCGAATACTAGTTGAACGATTTAAAAATGATTTTGACGTGGAAGACAAAGAATGTCCAGGACTGTCAAAAAAGTTTAAATAGGAAGAATTGCAGGTATTATTGAAAGAAGACTCAACTCAAACGCTCAAAAAATTTGCAAAAATATTGAATATTGGTTAAACCACTATGTGCAATCGTTTAAAAGCTATGGAAACGATTAAAAAGGAGGGAAAATGGACTTCACACGAGTTGTCCAAATTAGCTATCTAAAATCGTTATAACTTACGTTTTACTGTTTTCAAGGCATAAAAAGCAAATTTTGTACCAAGTTAAAACTTGTGATAAAAAGTGAATATATTATAATAACCCTAAAAAATCATGAATGAATCCAGGAAAGTTATCAATATAAGCGCCAAAACACAATATTTATGAAAATAAAATTATACTCTGTATTTAATGGGATTATAAAGATGTTATGTATTACGAATTGTTAAAACTAAATGAAATAAATAGTTACAGCTGATCGCTATTCACAACAATTACACAAATTAAAACAAGCATTGCATGACAAACGACCTCCAATTGCGAATAAAATACACAAAATGATTTTTCTGTACTACAATGCCAGGCCACATGTCTCTAAGTTCGTAAAAGATAAATTATTTGAACTTGGATAGGAAGTCTTAATCCACCCCACGTATTCTCCAGACGTTGCACGATTTGATTATTACTTGTTCCGATCGATGTTTCAAGGTACACACTTTCGAAATTTTGAAGAAATAAAAAAATTCATCGATAAAAAAAAATGAATTGCCTCTAAAGATAAATATTTTTTCTATCATGGAATCCAGAATTATTGCCAGAAAGATGGAAAAAGATTGTAGTAAGCAATAAAAAAAATATTTTGATTGAAATAACAATGTATCGCTTTTTTCTATAAATGCTTTTTGAGCCAAAAATCTCTTAAAATTAATTGAAATTTCTAATATTTACGTACACATCAATTAAAGGATATCGTTTCTTACATACTTTTCAATGCGAACCTTTTATAAGAAATATAAGGCTATATTTTTCAGCTTCTGTCGAAAATCTCACTTTTAAGAACTGCTGAAAATTTATAATTAGAGAATAAACAAGTTTTGTGAGGTACTCTATTTCTCTCCGTATAAATTATTAAATGAACAATAATTTTGGACAAATAATAATTTTGTCCTTTTTAACTATTCTTTCATTGTAAAACTTGTGTTTTCCTTATAGTGGATATTTCAAAGGATGTTTTGATACAATATGAAATTGATTTATTAATTTCTAATATATTTTCCCAATATAAATAAATATATATATATATATATATATATATATATATTACATGTCCCCATTATGCTTCAGGTTATAGTTTAAAGTTAATTCCTAATGAATAACTTTATCTAGTGTTGTTTTTATGTATAATTAACGAAAGTTGATATTGATATTACAATTGAGAAGCAATGTTGATGTGGTAATGTAATCCCTCATTGTCTTTTTGCTCAAGTAATTTTTGAGATTTTTTATTACATTAACATTTGCTTTTATCAAATTAAAACACGCTAAAGGAGCACTTAAAATTACACGTAAAAGTAGTTTTTTTATGGTTAACAATGAAGGAGATACAATCTAAAAAGTCCCAGACAACATAATGTCTAAAATCGGGACATAAGACGTCTTAAAGATATTTATACGTAAATCGTCTGAAAAACATCTTAAAGATGATCTTTAAGACGTCTTATGTCCCGATTTTAGATATTATGTCATATAGTCATATGTCATATGTGTTTCTTATTACAACTGACGCAACTCTTTCTTGTATACAGAATTATTAAGCATAATAGTAAGCATTGAGATATAATTTAATTAAGCATAATTGTTAAGCATAATACTAAGTTATTTCAAGATAATCACGAAGTGAATATTCCTACCTACGGCAAACATTGAGGTTAACTTTACATATCACTGTGCATGCAAAATGGCACTGTGCATACAAATTCGATATATCAAATCTCAATGTCGCCTCTCTGTAAATCTAAAACTTTACGTTGCGTCTGCTTGCAATCGACGTTGCGACTAATGTAAAACAACCTAGAGAAACGGCTACTACGACTCGTAACAAAACAGCCGATCGTTCGTGGAATCAGCGTGGAGGATCGCGTGTCGGCGAATTTTCGCGGAGGACGCGATGGAACGGGACGGCGGTGTCCGCGACAGATATAAATTCCGGCGGAAAAGTGGCCGGAAACTTGGCGGAAAGTGTGATATTGTCGCGGTGCGCTAAACCGTTTCGGACGGGCCCGCGTGTTGTAACGCGGCATCGTCGTCGTCGTCGTCGTCGTCGTTGTTGTTATTGTGTGTCGTGTGTTGTTATGTGTTGTTATATGTTGTCGTCGCCGTTGTGTATGCGTTCGTGCTCGTCAAGGGCTCGTAGCGCGTGTGTCGCCGCGCGTTTCACCCGGTAATAAGTTCTCGCTCCCAATAACCCGCTCTGAAATTCTCTTGAAATTCAATTAAACTTGGCGAACTCCATAATTATGTTCGTTATATTTTTTTCATTTCGGTTTCAAACTCGTCCGAAACGCAACACCGGCCGGCAGGCCAATCGACCGGCCGACTAACGTCTCATAACTGTACTGGAACTCCCCAATTATACGAATGGCATTGCCGTATTCAACCAAATATTTCTTCACTTTCGTATTGAGTCTTCCTCTTTTGTATCTCTTTAAAATTTTATTAGTATGATTACTATATACTTATATTATATACTATATATTATATATGATACTTATATATTATTATAATATATAATTAAGTCGGATGCATGACTGTATCTATTGTTTTATAATATTATTGTTAATTATACACTAGTATGCTCTAAGAAAATATAAATTTCTTAATAATATATAATATATATATATCATATTTTATATATTATATTATACATATTATATATTGTATAATATATATTATATAATATATATATATATATATATATATATATATATATATATATATATATATATATATTCTTATAAATATATTATTTTTTTCTATTAATAGTAGTGGTAGTAATAGTAGTGTAATGATTACACGAAATGTTTTTCTACTGCTTTTTCTTTAATAAATCCCCGAAGCTCGTATCTTACGTGAGAAACACATGACTCATTCTTTTTTGAATAATTAAGGTGCACTTAGAGTTGCGAAATCGTCTCTGCTTCTATCTGTCTAGTTTTGCTAAGTTTTGAAATATATATTTTATTAAAAATGCATACACAATGCAGTTTATTTTTCCTCTCATAACATGATTGATGGAGTTTTCGATATTATCTACAAGAAATGAAACATATATTTCGTAGATATTGCGCAAGCACTTTTGTGTGGCTGGAGGCACGACGCCTAGAGTGTTAAATGTACATTACAGATTGTATGTGCAATAGTTCGATAATTGCAGTGTTTACCTACACAACAAACGTCTAAAATCGGGAAATAAGACGTCTTAAAGAAGTCTAAAAGGTGTCTTAAAAACGTTGTACTGAGTATGTTATTAGGTGGTAAACTTAGTTCCTGCGGTTTTTCCCATTTTCCCTCCTTTTCAATTTTTCCCATTGCATGTAGACGTTTGGAAACAGCCATCGGAGTAACATTTAATGCTGCAGACAATTCTTGGAGCATTTGAGTAGAGTTTTCGTCCAATAATACCTGCAAATCGGTGTTTTCAAACTTTTTCAGTTGGCCTGAGCGTTCTTTATCAATGACATCAGAATCACTACTCTTAAATCGCTAAAACCATACTTGGCATGTTCTTTCCGATGGAGCATAATTGCCATAAGCTTCGAAAAGCAATTTATGAGCTACAGCTGCAGTTTTTTTCAAGTCAAAGTAATGAAGCAGCACATGTCGAAAAAAACAACTTATCACGTTCCATATTTAATCAAAAGAAAAAATAGCACTGCTCGCTTAAATGAATCTCTTCGCACTGAATTTTATTGACAAATGTCTAACCTCTAAAATGCAGCCAGTTTCAGATGTCAAAATAAATTACACCTACAACTAACGTCATCTAACTGTGAGCCGCAGGAACTAAGTTTACCACCTAATATATCACCTTAGAATTTCTCGCGGAGTATTGTCGCGTTCCGCGAATTAGGTTTTGCTTATAAAATATTCTTTAAATTATATATTCTTTTTAGGGGCCAAAGAACTTAATTAATTTATCCTAGAAATTTACCCTATGAACAATTTTATATATGTATGTATAGATGTATATATGAGTAAAAATGCATGGAATAAATTTTAAAAAATTACTTACGTTGGATGTGTTGAATTAATCGAATGAATAAACTTAGATGAAAGTTAGAGTACGAATTTAATATAGCAGCTTGAAAATCTTATTGGTTACAGACAACTCACTCAAATTAATAACTCCAAACATTTATTATTGATAATATAGAGGTTTATTATTGATTTTTCAAATATAATAATAAATTTATACTGTTAAATGAATTATTTGTTACAATTCCTTTTGTGTTTAAAATTGTTCTCAAGCGAACAACTCAGAATTAACACTTGACTGATTAAAATAAAAATAAGCAATAAATGGAAGTAACTCAGATAAGAAAATAACTTAAATAAAACTAAGCTTTAAAAATGAACCGACAGTAAATTAATTAGTTGGCTTGTAGGCTAATAGATCAATA